TTTTTTTTTTTTTTGAAAGAAGAATTTTAATATTGAGTTCAAATGAGAATGTTCGAGTGCTCATAATTTCAGAAAAATTTGAAAACATATTATTTTTGACAAGTAATTTTAATGTTAAATCAATTTCTTTTATAAATGAGAGCTGAAAATTATAATGTAACGTATAATGCAAATTCAATCAAATAGAAAATGAAACTGTGCTATAATTTCGTGTTATTTTGAATTTATAATATAAAAGTATTTTATATGTATAAAAAGTTATTTCAACTTATTAATTAAACTTTAAAATCACATGATATTCATATATATAATATATGAATTCATTAAAATAATTTGTATATCATTTACACATTGTTATGATTCTTCAATGTAATGAAAAATGATATCCTAATGATATGATACGAAGAAATGAAGAATTATTTAACTTTTTATCGCAATCTTTAATATGAAAAATGAATTTTTAAGATAGTTGATGATAAGATAAAGTTTAATCGTTCATATAATTAATTTATGAAATATTTTTAAATCGAAATTCTGGGATCTGTATTGTTCATAATTTTATAAAATTCTTACTTCTTACATTATCATGGATTCGATTATCAAAAATTATTTATTGTGTATTGTGTATTTACAAATAAGATTTAATCATTTTCTTCATTATAAATATTTGTTAGGATATCTTTATCTCTCAAAAAAAAAGACATTATAAATAATTAATCATGTCATGTGTTTTTTGAAAATCATCAATATTTAATATTTACTTCTTTTCTGAAACAAATAACACGTGTATTAGTTTTTCATTCAAATCATGTCAATCAATTCTGTAATAAGATGACAAAATTTGATATATATTGTTTTTACAATAAAACAATTATGAAATTTTTTCAGCTGTACAAAAAATTATAATATTCTTAAAAAATACTTTTTGCTATGTAATAAATATGTATTTTTTGATTAATTAAGATCTAATTATATTACATATATAAAAAAAAAGATATATATATAAATTTTAATAAAAAAGTGACATATCAAATTTTATCATCTGACTATTTATTTAATATTCAAAAATAATCTTCAGAAATTATGATAATTTATAGAGAAAATTTTTATTAGTAAATTTCAAATATCTTATATTATGAATTTAATATTTTATTTTATTTTTAATACAATAATTTGAATATTATAATTATTACATAATTACTTACCTTTTTTATTTCTTTAAAAATTACAAAATAAATAAAAATAAATTTCATTAAAATATGTACAAGAATTTCTTTTTATAGACAGCAAAAAAATGAAAGATTATTCTATATACATTTACAATTTTATCAAATCATTTTATGATTTTTAAATTTTAATTATTGTTAAAAGTCTCATTATTATACATGTAACTATGATGCAGCTGAAAGTTATTCTATTGTTGTAAAAATAAATTAAAAAAGGAAAAAAAGAATATAATTTTTTCATTTTTTCTTTTCAAATAAATCAAATAAAAAATAAATTTTTTAATTTTTAATGCAAGTGAAATTAACTTCTTCCCAATAAAATAGTAGATAAATTAAATTATCAAATTAAATTATTTTATATACGAAAATAAGTAAATAAGTAAAAATATATATTTTTTTTTTCATTTAAATATCAATTATCTAAAAAATTAAATTTGGAAATTTCTCGATTATATGACTTTTTATTTGTATAATTTGATTTTTTAAAAAATAAACAAAGTTTCATTTTATAGTTACTTTATATTATAACCTCTTAATTTCAACGATCTATCGATAGTTCATTCGTATGTCAATCAGGAATTAATCAATTTTATTTTCACACTTGAATTTAAAAACAAAGGAATTCAAATAAAAAAATGTTCTTTTTCTTCTTTCTTTTTTTTTTTTTTAACTTATTTTTACACATTCAAGAATTATATTCATCTCAGTTGTACCATCAGTTAAATGTACGGACATTTTGTATACAGATCAAAACTTTATCGCGTTCTATCGTATCATCTCATTTATAACCAGTATCCATAATTATTTTTTCTTTCATTCATTACACGTTATATTTGGACGCCTAACACTTGACTTCACATCGACCACATGGCGAGAAACAGCGCGAATACACTATAAATAGGATCATAAGGATTAAAACCCACGATGACGCAATTCCGTCTCATCAAACCTAGTTTCGTTCCAAGGCAGAGGCATCAATTTCACTTTCACAAGCTTATTGCGACTCCGCTATTACATTGGCCCAATTAAGCATCTTAATCGCTACCAAATCGTACTGTCATGATCGAATAATGTGTATCATCCGTGGACTTGATACTCGTATGCTTATATACGTGTCTACATACGCGAGGGACAGTTCTTAGTCCGATAGCCGGCACGTGACTGAATTCCAATGGAACATGCACACGCGCCGAAGAGTGCGTTACTTACACGTCCGATACGTTAGTAAGCGATAGACAGTGCCACTGACTTATCATCGGCGCTTCTATTTTCTGCCGACCCGCGCTTTTTTCACTAGAATTCGTCGCGACGTTCGATCGTGCGTAACAACGCTCTTTGACTTTGAATCCAAAGTGAACCGGTGCCAAGTGGACTACGCTTCGACACCATCATGACAGGTTCTTTATAATTCTTTATGGGATTTTATCGATGTGTTATAGTATTATTACCGACTGTGGAATTCAAATTAGGATCAAAGAATTTCGAATTTGTTTGAATCTTTATTTTGATATAATTTTATTTACAAAAATGTAATTTAACTAATAAGAATTAATCGAAAAGTATGAACTAACGAGAATTAATAATTAATTAATAATAATTAATAATTAATCCAGACTAATAACAATTTTTTAAATCTTTAAATAAGAATTTTTTGGAACCTTAAATTTATCACAACTAAAATTTTATAGGATATCGTACCTTTTAAGTTATTAAACCTTGATTAATTCTTAACTATTTGGAGTTTGAAATGAACTCTGTTAACCTCGAATAAACTTAGAATTCTCGAACGAATTTAGAATTCGTGGAACCTTATGAACTTGTACTTACTAAAATCTTTCAATTGGCATATAAACTTTGTGTTTAAAGATTTTAATTAGAATATTACAATTTTGTAATAAATTATTTTTTTTATTACTTTTGATATAATATATGAACAGGAGCTAATAATATATCTGCAACAATCTCCTTTCAATTCTATATGATCATTAAATTGTTATCATGCATTTATGAGAAATCCACAATATAAATATATAATTATTACAAGTGATATGAAAATAGATAGTATTATATTTAATATACAAAATATTTGAAGACAGTAAAATGTTAGAATATCTTTCAAATAAATAAATCTTTATTTTGATATAATTTTATTTACAAAAATGTAGTTTGCATATTCTAATAATCGAGATATTACGAAACAAATATTTACCAATTATTCACTCTCAAATCTCGTTAGAAAATACGAAAAGTCACATTATGATTCACATGCTGCAGATATCTACGTAATTTTAAGTAAGTATAAAATCAACAAACATTTATTGTGAATCTTCTTTACTTTGTTTCAATAGCGCTTGTTACACTTAATGATACGAGTTATTTTTCTAAACGTTTCTCCATTCCATTGAAGGAGTTTCGAATTTCGCGCGCTATATTTCGAATCGAAGTATCGAAAAATTTCCCGCCTTCAATTCAAAACATTGATTGAACATTCAATTCAAAATATGAATAGACATTAAATATTTTACAGACTATCAAAGTGACGATATGTCGGCGATTAGTCCTGAAATAACAGTGAGAAGACCAGTTTATCAACAGGACGAGCTTAATCATTTGTGTAAATATGCCAAGCCGAATGAAGCACGTAAGTATTATGTATAATCAAAAATCGAAATAAACAATTTACTTTCTTCTTTAAAAAAATATTTGTTCAATATATATCTTATACATATATTTTGTTTAAAAGAACATTAATATAAGAAACATTAAATTATACGATTTTATTATTATAAAAATTTAATTTTATTATTATAAAAATTATTATTTAATATTATTATATATTATTCAATAATAGTATATTTAATATTTATTACAATGATGAAGAATTTTTTTTAATGTTGATAAACAAAATATCTGTAACAGAAAAGTATTTTATTTTTATAAGTTTTAAATTCTATTCAAATTATTTTAAAAAAAGACTTCTCTTAGTTTTATAGAAATTTATAATTGTAAATTTTCTAAGAAATTTTAATTTGTTATATAAAGTGTCTTAATTTTTCAATATTATTACTTGCAAGGATTTATAAATATTTCAAAATAATATTCTTCACGCTTCTTTATATTTTTTTTATCTTTCATACAATAAATTTTACAATTTAAATTGAAATATTTATTAATTTAGAAATTTTTAAAGATATATGAGTTAATATTTTTTTTTATAGAGAATTTATTAAAAAATATAAATATATAATTCCATTTAAAAAGACAAAATTGATCTTCGAATCATTATGCACTCACAATAGAATTAATAATACCAGAATGTTTTAACTGAAATATTCCTTGTTATAAATAATAATATTAACAAAAACCAAAATACCAAAATGAAGTGAGACATTCTATATATAAACAAAAACTATCTAGAAAAAATTCTATAATTGCTTTGATTATAGTGGTTTCCGACTGAGCAAATCTAACATAATAATAACATAATAATAACAAAATCGCAATGATAATAACTTGTTTGTATTAGATATATTATCCATAATTATCCATATTATCCAAACAATAAAATCTTTGCATCTTGTCTAGAAAAAAAAAAAATGAAAACTGTGAATGATTCGTTATGTAAATGTTGTATTAAAGAAAGAAATAATAGTAGAATTTTTTGTGATTGATAGCATTGAATAGCAGGGAAAAGATTTTTGTATGAAATTTTAACTTTTATAAGTCGTATTTATAACTCGTCAATGTTACAGTTTTGAAGAATATCTCGATTAGATGCAAGAAAATGAAGCCAATGAGAATTCTAAAGACTACTATACCTCTTATTGACTGGTTGTCAACGTACAATTGGAAGAACGATATATTAGGTGATATTGTTGCTGGAATTACTGTGGCGGTGATGCATATTCCTCAAGGTAAATAGGTTTGTAAAAGGTTTGATTCATCAGTAGAACATGAATGTTTATGCACTTATATAACACTTAAATATGTAAAAATATATATAATTATACAAAAGTATTTTAAGTAAACTTTACTAATTATAATATTTATCTATGTAGATTCCATTTGTTTTTAAAAATAAATTATTTACATAAAGTATTTTCATAATCTAATCATGAATAATATACAAAAAAGTACTTATAGAATTTAAAAAAACAAATATATTTGAATAATTTTCTATAAGATAAACCATAATTTTCTAAAAGATAAACCATATCATAATATCATAATCATATATCATAATTTGTACCATTATTAATATGATTATATGATGATATTATCAGAAATTGTCACATCATAAAATAAAAATATAAATGTATGCTTATGATTATATAAAATATTTGATTAAAAAGTTTTTAATTCTATATTCTTTAATCGATATAAAATTAAATTAAAATTAAAATATTTTTTATTAAATTTAATAAATCTTAAATAAATCAATCAATATCTTTATTAATATACGAAATTAAAATAGTATACTTGCTTTTTAAATATTTCCACTTCATTTTAAATAAATAAGTAAAGTTCTCAAAAGAATTAAAACATTAAAATTCGTATTATAAAGATTTTAATTATATTACAGGGATGGCGTATGCAATATTGGGCAACGTGCCACCGATCATTGGTATTTATATGGCATTCTTTCCGGTTCTTGTTTATCTCTTCCTCGGCACTTCAAGGCACAATTCTATGGGTAAGCAAGTATATTCAAATGATACAAAGTAATGTTAAAGATGATTGTAAATACTTACTCTATAATGCGCAAGCTTTAAAACTCCATTTTTTTTCATGATATTACAGCATTTGCTAATGACAGTGTTCATTTTGTGTATCAATTTTTTATATTCAGTAATTTTTTAATATACAAGATATCCTATGTTATTCATGTTAAAACTAGACAAAATAATTGCTCAAAAAGAAAGAAAAGAAAGAAAATATTATAAATTGTAAATGAAAAAGATTTATTCCATATTTTTTGTTTATTTTCATTTATAAAATTATCTCTTATCCATAATTTATTTATATACCTAATTGAGAATTTATCTATTTCACTTTACTTTAAAATTTTTCAAATTTGATTTATTCAAAAAAAAAAGCTTCAAATGAAAAATTTTTTTTTTTTTTATTTATTTTTTCATGAAAAAATTATTTCTTGTTCAGTTGTATCACATACGATTCATTATATATTAAATTGCATAATATTAAATTATAATAATTTTAAAAAATACACTATTTATATTCAACAATTTTCAAATTATTACAACATTTACTATTTCGATGAAGTTTATAGCTATTTTAATTATGTAATTTGAAAATTTACGAATCAAATAAAATTCTTATATTTCTTTTTTAGATATCAATAATTGAAGTCTCCAATTTAATAGCCGGAAATAATTTTCTCACAGTGAGCGATTCTCGTAATTTCATGACGCTTCCTTGCATCCAGTTCCTTCTAACTTTCATTTCAACTTCACTTTCCAACGTCGATTTAAAAAAATTGACACGCAATTCCGCATGGCATCCGACTGATTTTTTTATTGTCATAATGCCGCTTCGTGAATTGTTATGCATGTCTATTAGCCTAGATAACGGAAGTTTGACTAACAAAGCCAGTCATATCTCGTTGAAACGCATACCTAGAACTCTTTGTTTAATTTATGACTAATTACATATGTCTGTTCGAAGATAATTTTCTTAAGTACAAAAAATTAGCATAATTTAACATAAATATTATCTCTTTCTTCTGTAAAATAACTGTTGACATAAATATCGGTATACACCAACAATTATTGGTGATGCGAAAGTAATGATTATATCTATGTTATAAATTTTTATTGATATTTCCTAAATATATAGAAAAACTAATGCAATAATAATTTCTCTTAATTTTCTATTTTTTATTTTCTTTTTCTTATTATAACTTTTAATATAGAAAATTTTTTTACATTAAAAATTTTTTCAATTCAATTCACAGACTTGTTGAACTTTTTATGTTCTTTCTAATTTCCTGCTTTATTGATTCTGTAATTTTATATATTATATCATCGTTAAATTTAATTAAAATCACTACACTTTTGATGTCAAGGTACCTTCGCATTAATATGCATGATGACAGGAAAAGTGGTAGCAACTTACAGCACTCAAGGTCAAGTAAACAAAAACTCCACGATAGGAAACGAGTTACTAACCTCAACAAGTAGTCAATATTCCTCGGTAGAAGTTGCCACTGCGGTTACTTTCACTGTGGCCTTGATTCAGGTACAATCATTTCGATCTTCCACAGCTGATCAACCTGAATTTAAACCTAATCGATAATTATTTATTTTGGATGAATTTTTTTTAAACTTTTAGTTGATAATGTATTTGTTGCGATTGGGAGTGATCGCAGCGCTTCTGGCGGACAGTTTAGTGAGTGGATTCATCACTTCTGCAGCGGTTCATGTATTTACGTCACAGTTGAAGGATCTGTTAGGATTAAAGAATATACCTAGGCGCAAGGGACCTTTCAAATTAATCCTTGTAAGTATTAATCTTTAATATATCTTTAATCTTTAATCTTTAATATATGAGATGCTCTAATTTATAAATGAAGTTAATCATGTTAATTTAATATGAATTCATAAGAAAGTTGTTATAACAAAAACATAATAAAAAAATAAAATTAATCTTTATATAAAATACTTTAAAGATATTTAATTTTAATAACTTTAATAACTTTAACTTTAACGTAATATAATATAACTATTATAAAATTCATTTGTTATTATGAATAATTGTATGTAATATTCATAATAAATTAATGATTTTATTTTTACTAAATGCAAATTAACTAAAAAGTTATTATAACAAAAATATGACTAAATAAAAAAATTAGTTTAAATCATAGATGAACAAAATTTTTTTAAAATCTATCTTATATTTAATATAGAATTGCATGTGTATAAAGAGAAAATGGGAAGTTGATTCAAAGTCAAGGGTCAAACAAAATTTATTGAGGAAGATAAAATATCATTAAATTAATCGTAACTGATACATCGTTACGACCTTTAGTAATCGATTGTTCGATTCATCGACAACTTTATGTACTTTCTCTTTAACGTAATATAGGAAATGAATTAAGTAACGAGAGATACGAACAACTTTTTGTATATATACTAAATATGTATACTAAAGTTTAAATTGAAATATTATTCCATTTTTCAAATTTTAAATATTTCTAAATATAACTTGATTAATGTTTCTTAAATTAATTCCTATAAAATGCTTAAATCTCCTTAAAAAAACAGAATTAAATTTTATTTAAAAAAAAATTGATTTTACATTCATTAAATTTTTTTTATTATTTTCAGTTAATCATAACATAATAAATTTTAACATTTATTAAATTATAAATATCTCTAATATTTTTTAATATTTTAGTTCACAATATTTTTTTTAAATAATTGATGTTAAACACGTAATCATAATTTAGATGCCAATCTTTTAATTTTGTTTTAATTTCATAATTTTATATATATATATATATATATATATATATATATATCAGTTCACGGAAGAGTCAATTAAAACTTTTCTATCTGATAATACCGTTTGTAATCACTATAATAATCAAACAACTTCTTTTATTTTTTTATCGCTATAATGACTGTGTATTCTGTATACATAGTAATCATTTTATCGTATTATCAAGTATCGTCTTAATATAATGAAAAAAAATATAGATATTTTATTATAAACGATAGAAAAACATTAATAAGTTAATATGTTTCAAATTAAGTTTTGTAAAGCAACATTATATTCCAATATTCGAATAATTATAGAGTAGTTGTTCAATTTTTAGAAATTCACCAATTTATGTTGATAGATTAAAATTGATATTAATATGCATATCGTTCATTATTAAAATATAGCTTGGGAACAATTAATTTATTGGATACAATATTTCCACCATTTTTTTATTTGAATAAATAGATTAAATAAGAAATTTTGCAATTTTTCTAATATTTTGTATAGTGATTATAATTGATAAATATTATGATGTAGAATCTTATTAAAAATAAAATTATACATTATAAAAATTAGAATTATATAATATTTCATTTATTATTAAACAAAAATCTCAAAAGAATTAAATAGATTATGAGATTATTTTATATAATATAAAATAATAAATACATATGAAATACATATTATTGATGTTTGATATTTTGGTAAATTTATTATAATAATAATAATATGTGAATTTTTGAATGTGAACATAAACATTAATAACTAAAAGAAAAATTCATCATGAAATTAATAAAAACTACAAATTAAATAGTCTATTTGAGAAAAATATTTACTGAACTATCAACTGTAAAATATTAAATTAATTTATTAGTAACTATTAAATTATTTAATGGTATGTAATTATATGTTACAATACACACATTAAAAAAAGAAAAGAGAAATCTTCGTGGCTTTTAAAAACTGAAGGATGAAATGTTCATATCCTTGGTACAATTTTCCATGAAAATATCTTTTATTTCCTATATAAAAACAATCAAGAACTATAAGAATTTTCTATCGGATGTTTTAAAACTTGTTTTTCCATTTCAATATTTCAACTGTTGGAAAGTCAGTAGAGAAATTTCGTTTGGTATTTCATATATTTGGTGTCTGTAATAGTTTCTTGTTATCATTCATTACCGATCAAAATAAGAAATAAAAATCGGATTCCATGAAATAAATATGGAAGAAGTAGGAAATGACAAATCTACACGCATAACATTCTATGTCTTTTTTATACGAAAGGAAACGATCAGTAACGATTGTTACTTTTTTTACTTTTTAATTCTCGTTTAATTTTCTAAAAAAACAAACCGGAAGTGCTACGAGTTTATTTCCTAAGTTTTAGAAAAAAAGAGAAACTTTTGATAAATATAATTACTTGTTATCTTACCAAACAAAAAAAGAAAATTATAATAGTATTATACATATCTAAAAGCAATAATTTTAAATAAAGTTATGTATTAAATTTATTTATTATAATCAAAGTTTGTCAAATAAAAGCTAAAAAAACGATGACAAAATTTGAGATGAGTGTAAAATAAAATCAAATATTTTATTTTTTATTATTTCTAACAAATTTTGAGCATTCTATTTATTAATTTTTCTTTATCCAAAATTGTGCGTATCAATAAATATTTATTAAATATAAATAGTTATTTTTCTAATATTTAAAATATTAATATTTCTAAATTTTTGAATAATAGTATAATTGATTATAATTTTATTATTTTATTAATAATAATTGAGAAACTTAACAGTTTTTTATTTAGATGGTTTTTAGCAAACTCGACATTACGTAAATTGTAGAGAAAGCGTTTTAATAAAATCGAAGACCTTCGTAATTTTTTTGACTCATTGATCAATTTGATAAAAAATTCGCAGGAAAATTATTCGCAAGGTTTTCCAGTTATTTTCAGTTACTTAGGCATTTCTTTAACAATATAATTGCAAGCAATAAGCATAAATAATATTATTACATTTAATAGCACTTTCACTGATTGCACTTACATAAAGGGTTTGAACTCTTAAAACATATAACAATGAATAATGTCACTTATATAATCTTTCATTTGTTTTCATACGTACATAGGTACATAGATTTTGTTTTAAAAGCTTTAAAAAATTACAACACATAAATAATATTAAATTTCGAATATTCAATTTAAATTTATTTAAATTTAAAATTAATACTGATATTTAAATTTAACTTGAAAAAGTAATATCTCACATATAAGCAGTTGTTAAATATTGTTTCAGAGTTATGTCGATTTGCTCAACAACTTTCCATCCATCAATGGGATCGCCCTCTTGGTGTCTTGCGCCACCATTTTGATTCTCATCGTCAACAATGCCTTAAAAGTCATTTTAAAATTATTTAAACTTAAAATATTTAAAAAAAAAATAAAAGCATCTTTTATTAATATTGAAAAAGTTAGACTTTTGGATGTCAACAAATTTTATTTTTTTATGCACTAAAATTAAATTTAAATTTTTCAACTTTGAAATAGAATGATTAAATATTAATTTTTATAATTATAAATTTCACAGCCAAGATTCGCAAAATTCAGCCCCTTCCCAATCCCAATAGAAATGCTGGTAGTCATTATAGGCACAGTCCTCTCTGTGTATCTGAATCTTGCAGACGTTTATGGAATTGCAGTAGTTGGTGACATACCAGTTGGGTAATTAAGTTTCTCGAAACTGTTTTATTGTTCACCTTACATTTTTGTATCGCGTTACATTGAACGTGAATAACGTCCTCGAGCCAACTTTCTCTTCAATTTTTTTTTTTTTTTCAGTTTACCAGTTCCAACCTTGCCACCATTATCCTTAGTGCCGAACATTCTAATAGACAGCTTTGTCATCACTATGGTGTCCTACACTATATCCATGTCCATGGCGCTCATTTTCGCGCAAAAGTTGAGCTACGAAGTGGACTCGAATCAGGAACTAATGGCACAGGTTTGAATATTACAATTCAAACTGTAGATATCATAATTTCACTTTTAAATTTTTAAACATTTTTGAATTTATATTTGATATTTTTATTTTATCTAGAATTTAAAGTTAAATTAAAAAATTAAAATTAGAGTTAGAGTTTTAGAATTCATGAAGTAAAATTCAAAGCTTAATTAATTGGCCACTTTCAATTGATGAAGAAATTAAATTCAAATTAATTTCAAATCACAAATTAATATCACATTGTTTAAAAAACGAAACAATAATGATTTGTTGATTCATTTGTTGAATGCATTAGAATCAATGAAGGAAT